ATTTTAATTTATTTAATTGTCCAAAATTGTCCAAAGTGTCCAAACTTACTGTCCACAACTGTCCTGTAACAATACTGATACCCGATACTATTCAATTTTAAAAATGAAGTTCTTAAATAAGACCTCAGGTACTGAACTGTGATGACATTTGGGCAAATAAACAAGTTTTGGCAATTGGACAAAATTTTTCAAAACCTTGGCCAAAAGCCAACATTTATTTTTGAGGGTGTTTAAAGCGGATAGATTAGTAGAGCAACCAAAATTCAGCAGATTGACCAAAATTTAGGGTCGGAATAGGCCCGGATCTAGGCCGGCATTAAGAAATAATACTAACCACCTATACTACAGCAAAATTATCATCTGGGCAGCTTTACTTAGTACGTGGGCTACCATTTTATTAGTAAAATTTTGGGTGATTTGGGGAGAAATTTATCAATTCCGGCCTATTCCGACCCTAAATTTTGGTCGATCTGCTGAAAGTTGGTTTGCCGGTCTCTCGGGAAAATGGCTTTTAGAAAATCGAAAATTCGCAGTTTAAAAAAAAAAAAAATTTAATCGAAAATTATAGATCGTACCCGACTCAAATTTCTTCCTAGTGCAAGAACTCAAATCTTAGGAAATGGAACAATTTATATCGATATTAATTTTGTAATTATGAGTATATAAATAACTTTAAACAGCAATTATTTTATGAATGCATACGTATGTACATGGGTAGTTATACTATCAGCTATTGGCCAACAAATCAATAGCCAATTAAGATAAGTAATTTTGCTAGAATGATCAAAGCCTCCTAGATAAAATATTTTCTTTGAACGTGAAACTTTTAGAATCATAGCTCAATTGGCATGTCTGCCGTCAATAATAATTCCAATCACGCAGTTAGGCCCGCAGGCGCGCCGAAACCAGTTAGTAAACTGAAAGCAGATAATCCATTTTTAAAGAAGCCTGTTCCCGCGCATCTTATTGGAAATTTACCGAAGCATATGCGAGCGAAGGCGCTAGCAGCTTTGCCACCAACACAACCGAAAGGAAATTTAACACTTAAGAAGGAATACACGATTACATCCTCAATGTTGAATAAATTTAAAAAGTTAAATATAATGAGATTCCATAGCAGTCAACCAGTGGATATAACAAAATTTACAGTTCCAGTAAAACTTCAAAGACGAGATCCTGATGCGCCTCAGCAACAAACGCTGATATTGAATCGTCCGAATCCAATTATTCCGGGCCCTTCTAAAGCGGCGCAACAAAACTCAACACCAGCACCTACAAGCGGAGCTGATGCATCCCTCATCGCGCCATACGCTGGTGCAAGGCATAACAAAAAGAATCTCTTCAAAAAAAAAACAACTCAGATATTCTTGGCTGATGATAGTCAAAGGAAGCTTAAAGCTGAAGAGAAACTACCGTGGGTTCTGGAAGATTATGAAGGTATTACATGGATTGGTGAATATGAAGGTGGTGATAGTGCAAAATATGGTGTCTTTTTAGTAAAGGTTGTTTATTTATTGTTTTATTATTATAACCATCTGCAATCTTGAAGTTCTCTTGATCTATATATTAACAAGTTAATTATAGGGAGATAAACTAGAATTCGTTCAGATCCATCGATTTTACACTTTCAACCGTAAGCTGAATTATAAAACGCTCACAATTGAAGAGGCAGAAGAACAGGTAAAAAATAATAATAATAATAATAAAGATTATTATTTTTGTTCACATTCAATTAGATAAGGGGCTGATGAAATTCAAGTAGTAATATTATTACGAGCATTTTCACTAATTCCTTATTACAAATATAAGATGGCGAAAGCTAAAAAGAGAGATAATGATAGATGGATGATGAGATCATGGGGTAAATCTAAAAATGAAGATTTAGCTGTAGGAGAAGGGGGAATATTTGATCCAAAATCTGCCATGAAGGTAGTTGAAGGAGAAGAAGCATTAATCGGATCAGATGAAGAAGCAAGAATTCCTTCTAGGGAGGAATATGATGAAGAAGAGGTAGATTTCGAAGAAGTCTTTGAGGATGATGAGGAAGAATTGCCTGATGATGCAAATCCCCTTATTGATGACGAAACTAAGGAAGTTAGTAAGATGAAAAGGAAGGTAACGGGTAAAGACACGTATGAACTCAACGAATCTGATGATGATGATAAATTGACGAACGAAGGAAAGCAACTCAAAAAATTGCTAAGAACTGCGGAAAATAACGATGCCTATGAAAGTGATCGTGAAGATAATCCATATTTTTCAGAAAGTGAAGATTCAGATTCAGAAGAATCATCGTCACCTCAAACAAAGCCTCCTGTAACGCCAGCCGCAAAACTTGACAAAGCCCCAGAAAAAAAACCCTCCGAGAAGGGAAAGCCACCTAAAACAAAAGTACTAAAACCTAAAACTACGTCCCCTAAACCAAAAGTTGCAAAAAGCAAATCACCCATAGCATTAAAACAAAACCTTACCGTCACCAAACCTACAATTGGCGATAAAGGTAATAATATTACGCCTGCAGCATCTACTAGTATTCCGTCGAGTAGTGTTTCGACAATCCCATCCAAACTTAAAATGGAGAGACCTAGCAGTCCAATAATCGAAGGTTCCAGTGCTCAAAAGACCCAAACTTCTGTTTCTACAAGGAGTTTGCCTCAGAAACCTAATAAAATGGTAAAAGTTCCTTCGATCGATTCAAAGCAAGGAATCACTAAAGTAGCAGCCAAAAAGGTCGGTGGACCTAATCAAGCCACACAACCAAACCGTACTCGTCCTGCCGAGTCTAGTTCTAAATTGGCAACTTCTTCTTCCGTAAAACGACCGATAACTTTGGATGCAACAGAACAATACGCAATTAAACGCATTAAAACTGTCGATACTAAAATCAATAAATCTCGCACATCTGATATTGAATCAAGTAGTATAACAAATAGTTCTACTGTAAAACGTCTAAAGCGTGATGAACCTGTGACAACAGCCAGTGCTCCTATTCAAAATGTAAAACGAATACGTCCTTCCGATCCTAAAACAAGTGTTGATGCTGTCAAGAAAACTAAACCAGCTCAAAGCACTTCAACTTCTACCGGGTCATCGAGTCGTGCAACGGTACCAAGCCCTTCTACAAGTGTAGGCAACAGCTCTCGGTTGATTTCGGAAGGAGAAATCAAGAGGCTTATTGAAACTAAACAAGTAAAGGTTGCTGATGTTATTAAGGCCTTCAAAAAAAGGATTAATGAGGACTCTCGCAATAAAGATCTTCTTCTTAACATTACAAAGAAAATCGCTCATTATAGAGATGGGTATCTTGTTTTAAAATCACAATGAATAAATGGGTTTGGATGATGGTAATCTTAAATGATGCAATTCCTATTCTGGCTGTTGAAATGTTTTAAAAAAAAAAAAAAAATTATATACATAAAACATTGACTATAATAATAACTACCATAAATGTCTCATTTTTATCATTATTTAATACTATATATACATATACATGGTAAAGTAATAAAAACACTGGTATAATCTAGTTCTTTTAGAAAAATTGCGAATCAATTAATTAAATCGATAAAATCAAGGGTTTAGGACAAAGTCTCGACAAAAAATTGACTGGAACTATATTTAACGTTAACCTAATGCGGGCTAACTTGTCGGGATTTTGACCGCTTGAAAGTAATGTAGATCACCCAGGACTATGGATAGTTTACCTTTTATACATTTCATTACCGATTTAATATATCTTATTACTGATTGTAGTAAATTTATTACGTACATTATCGTTATTATTTCATTACTCATGCAAGGATAGCTCCAAGATTCCGGACCGGAATATTATTTGGCTGGGTCGTAATTGATATAAATAAGTAATGCTTGACTTTGTTAGATAGCTTCGAAATCATGTGATATTGTCAATCATGATTAAGATCATGATAATAATAATATTACGAGGGTGAAATTCGCTTTTGCATAATAAAAAACATAGCTAAGCCCCTAACGTGATCTTCGCAGCGGATTTACTAATTTACAACGCGGGTTTCACCCAGTCCTACGTATAATATTTAGTATTAAGGGGTTTCAAAATTATTAACAAATGAGTGACGCATTTCGAAAATAAGTAGGATTTTTTCAATAGCATTTTTATTATATTAAATTATAAATTGGATTTTAATTTTGAAACCCCCCTATTAATAAAATAATTGATTTAGTAAGTGAAAGTGATTCTTTTAAAAGCATAAAATCCAATAAACACAATATTCTAAAAATATACTTGATTGTCGTAACCAAATTTTCAGAAAAAAAGAATAAAAGTCGAAATAAATTATAAAAGCTAATCAAGAAAATGTAATTGCACCAGAAAACCTTGTAGATTTTATTTTAATGCTCTTCCGGAAGGCTATAACTGATTATTTATTTGAGCAAAAAATTTTTATAAATCTGAATCCGGGACGCAACAAAAAATTATTGAACATAATGAATCTAAATATATATATAGTAACAAATGGCTCGATAATATTAATAAAAACTTTGAGCCATTGCATAAATTGGAAGAGGATTATAATCATTTTAAAAGGCAATGGAATATTCCAAATACCGTAATCATAATACTTTCTGGCTGTAATAAATATTACGTTTACTGAATTTATTCGAAATAAATAAAATGTTTTATTGCTTATCGATAAACGAAAATACGATATGAAAAAAATTGTTTTTTAAAATAGCGATAGCAAAAAAATTTTGTAGCTCTTCTAACTTTTAATGATAATAAAATAAATAGTCAAGTCTTGTTATAATCACTCATTTTGATATAATTATATATTTTTAGTTCTAACTATTATAAAATATCGTTATTAAATCGAATCAAATATTATATGTTAGCAAATGCATCAATATACAAAAAAATTCAAGACACTTTAAACACTTTAAACTTTTGATCAAACTTTTTTTTTATTAATTTTATTAATAACTTTTAGTTGTGCAAATTTATACAAATTTAAAAACATTTACGTAATAAAATTTCGAAATTAATATTTCTAAAATTATACGAGTTGCTTGGGATACTTAGTTTCAGCTAAAGAAAAAAATTAGCTTACTTGTCCCAGTCACCGCATAGAGGTGTATCCCATGACTGGGTTTATAACAACCCGGAGCTGTATCCAATAATGGACGTTCGCGTGAATGAATAATAAATACTCACTCAGGAAAAACTCATACCTAGAGTTCGGCACGACGAGGGGGTATAAAATAAAAACTAAAAAAATACATGTCGACGTTAATTATAGGCAGTACAGAAAATATTATACAAAAACGGAAAGTTTTGTAAATGTAGAGAAAAAAAAAAACTATTCTAAAAAAATATGTCGTTCCAGCCTTGGGAGCGCGATAAGACTCCGATCCCTCTTCGTCTTACCATTCCGGTTCTACTGGCCGGTCGTAACCTAAACACAGCCACCATATTACTCCCGCAGCCAAAACTCTACAAAAGAAGAGCAAAACTTTCCGTGTTTTGTTGGTTAGTAATACTTTCTGTTACCAACTATAGATAACGGAAAAATACATGATATTATTAAATAAAACAACAACGGTGGGAATAAAAAGATCCCTATCGCTATATATATATATAGATCCGCTGATCAACGAAGATCACACGTGACAATTGAACGTGTAGACTACTTTTTGATGCACGCACTTAAATGTACCCTAAATTTGTTCGATTTTAATTAACATAAAAAAGGCAAAGAAATTTTAGGATGCGTTTAGATCAAGGACGATGATTTTTTTGTGATTACATTTTTCCGCATAATTTCGCAATTTTATTTTAGGCACAATAAACAAGAAAGGATAATACATTATACATACATAGCTGCAAATCGTCAACGTATTTTTCGATTAAAAAATTGTAAGGGTGAGCATTGGGATGATAGTAGAAAGGATACTACATATAGCAAAATTTTGCAAGGAATTTTTTTTGTTAAGGCGCAGAAGGTGGTTTCATAAGCAAAATCGAAAATCCTGAACCTTAATTATCGCGTCGTGTGATGTCGGGTCAAACTCCGCTTATGATTTGACTTTCTGGATCCTGTGTCGTAATTGGGTTAAAGTCACGTGCACGCGGACATTTTATTCGGTTGCTATCGCTATGTATAATAAAGATTTTAAATAAAATACGAGCATGTCATCGGAGAATTTCGGAAAGACGCAAAAACGCAAAGACGCAAAGCCGCTCTAAATTAGAGGCCTGCACGGCCGGGCTAAAATTAGGAAATTCGAGAAAAGTACAAATCTTATGCCCGTGCAGGCCCCTACTCAAAAATAGTCCATAAAATCCTGAATGGTCCACGATCATCCTGAATGGTCCGCAAAAAATCAAATAAACATCCTGAATGGTCCACAAAAAAATCAAAAATTTACCTTACGTCACCACAAAATTCATCAAAAAAGTAGATGCAGGTGTATCAAAATCTTAAGTTTTGCTTATAGCACTTTGCAAAAGGTTTGACCCATGACTTTCGTGATAATGACAGCGAGATTTTGAATTGTCTATCATCCATATTTTTCAAATCAGTGACATCTATATTTTTCTCTTAGAATTGAAAAATCACTAGACTTTACGTCACGATCTGCAAACCGCAATAACATTAACGCTTGCATAAATTAGCTTAGAATTAAGAGATAACTACGTACGTACATAATTTTCATATGGGATCTCTGCCTTGAAAATGACCTTATGGAACATAATGATTACTATATTTTTCAAGGCAAAACCCCATATAATCACAATTTTCTATAATCACCAAATTTTGTTTTTCAATCAAGATTAATATTGCAGTTAAGAGAAAACCGTCATCGGGCTTCAATTGTATTTTGTATCCAGTTTGTTCTCTTAGGGAAAATCTATCATCGGACTTTCGGTTATGTTTGCAATGACTTGTCAAAAATATAATTAAAAGCCTTATGATAGATTTTTTCCTAGACGACACTCAGAGAACAAACCGGACACGATTACAGGTTTTCTCTTGACCACACTCATAAATAAGATTAAAATATTTAAAAGCTATATATATTTATATTCTAATTTGATTAAATTTAGTATATAGTTGCCAAAAAACCTGTTAAAGTTTTAAAAAAATTTCAACTCTATATTTGATTGCTATTTTTAAAACTTTAATAAAATATTTTTACATAACAAAACTTTAAAAAATTTTGTGAATATAAACGAAATTGGAAGTTTAAAAATAATTCTTTCACATAAAGCATTAAAAGTGTTACAATAAGGTCCAACTTCGCAATTAGCTAATATATTAATAAACTAACTTTGAATAGCACACAGCATTAATTATTTAGACCAATTAAATTTACACTTAATTTTTATTGCACTTTCTTTTTTTTTTTATTTGCTTAATTTACTGATGCCTCGTTGAAAAAAAAAAAATGTTCATATGTATAAACGTATGTGAACTTTGTACATTCAAATCGAAATGAAACAAATAAACTTAAATCACTGAAATTGTGAATGTCATTGTTTTTCTATCTTAAATTCCAAACCAAAAAAATTATGTCAAAAAAATTTTTAAAGGGATAAATTAAATGTACAATGATTAACTTTTTTGGCGATGAATTCCCTACATTATTGGAGAATTTCCAAGTCCATTTCCAAAATATTTTGGGTATTCAACTGCCAAGCTTGGAAATCGTATAACTACTGAAATCACCGAATTGGAGCCCATCAGACCGCCACTAGAAACTCCTCTTTCTATGTTTGCTAGCTGCGCACACCATTCAGCATATTCTTGACTGACTGCTTCATACTCCGCAATAGCTTTCACAACATATATATGTCTACGTGGTGCATAATGCCATACAAGTGAATTCAAAGGTTGTTTACTGGTTGTACGTGTCAGAATAGATGGTGTATCCTCTGTAATAGATGAAGATGCAGAACTTGATTTGAGATGATTTAAATGTTTGCTAGACCCGTTTGAGAAAACCATGCGAAACAAATATGCAGCAGTTGACATTTCCTTTCCAGATGAAGACTGTGGTGAGATGAGTTCCTTTAATGTCATCTTTCTTTTAGGTTTGCGGCTTTTACTTGAAGACGATGAAGATTTGGAATCAGGAGTAATTGTCGACGAAGATAACAAAAGAGAAGTCCTGTCGCTAGATTGAGCCTGATATTGATCCTCCTCACTTTGAATACTATTATTGAAATCAGGTGCATCGTCTGTGGATTCGGCAATTTTTGCCTTTAACACCTGTTCAATATCTTCAAAATTTCCATCATAATTGGATAAAAATTCGTGACATTGCCTCATGTTGTCCAATCGATTTTGTAATGTCATCAATATACTATATAATGATATTTTTTCAAAGATGTAAGCACCATATAAACAACTATATTTATCATTATTTCTTTACTTACTCAATATCTTCTTCATTACTCAATCCACTATCACTGACTTCGAAATCCCTAGATTCATCACTTTTTCCAATATCACTACCAATTCTCCCGACTCTCCATATCAACAAACGCATAAAATAAATCCTAACATTTCTGGACCAGTGGCAAAACATCCTTTCAAATATCTCTTCATCTAATATTATTTGTTTAACCAGTTGTCTTAAATGAGCTGGTTGAGAAGTTAAGAGAGAAAATTGAGTATAAATAAAACTTATTGTTCGTAAAATGGTGATGGTATGATCTGATCTGTTAAGAAGAAGATTAATCAATGAAATGTAAAATGTAATATCGAGTATGTTTGTAAGATTAGGGGGTGAAAAAGGTGAGCTAGATGAATCACTCGATATTGATGTATTAGCGGAATTTGGTGTTGTTGGTTCTGAAGAAATAATAGTATTGTCCCTATTGAACATATTGAAATTTACGCATTAGATATCAATAAGCATCTCGAAACTATTTAAAAGAAAATTGTTGTTTACCTGGAATCTAATTCCATTATTAAGGTGTCTATGAAGTCTAATAAGCCTAATAATGTATAATATTGTTAGTGTAAACAAGTCCGATAGTAATTTTTATAATTATTGATTTCAATACTCACAAAAAACTCCTTCAACATCATATAAGTTTGTTCTTTTTACCACTGCCTTAATCCAAACATTACACATTTCCTGGAAAACCCCGTTTTCCACGATAGAAACCATTGTTTCAACGAAACGGCGTCCTGCCATTTCTAATACTTTAGGCTTTCCATTATTAATACCTGTGGCACTTCCCGCTCCATTCATAGAAGCTTCTAAAGCCACATTACCATTTGCTATTTCATTATTAATGGAGTTGCTAACCATTCCCACTCCGGAATATGTTCCCATTCCAATAGCAGATGCATCTGGATTTATCATATCTGGAATTCTTGTGTTGGAAGGGGTTGATGTTACTAAATTACTAGTATTCCTTGAATGTTCAAACTGAATAACGGTAGTAATGGTATGAATATTGCGATGAACAAGTGACTCAATCTTAAGGAGAAAAAAGGAAGCAAGGTGAACGTAACCCGGTGCGGTAACATATTGAAATGGAGGTGTCATTAACTTTGGAGAAGTCGATGTAGAAAGATATGAAATGATGTAGGATTTAAGGACGATGTGATAATGTTTGTAAAACGAAAAAAATAATTCGCTATCATCGCTTTGCCATCTTTACAAAAAGAGGAAGTATTAACAAACGAATCCGGACAATGATATAAACTAATTATATTGAAATATGTCCAATGCCTACCGACGTATCCAATTTCCAGTCATCTCAATTGGTGGATCACCCCAGATGCGTTTAGCATTTTCAAATTGTCGCAGCCATGTCCTTAGATTCAAGAAACATAAAATCTTTAAATGTTCTGGAAACAATGATGAGATTTTGTCATTTTGCGTTGATATGTGATCGGTGCTAATCAAGTGAATTTTAAAGTTTCAAATGATGTATCAATCGATCAGTATTACTTTACATATAAAAAAAAATAATGCTTATATAATATAAATCTAACTAACCTTGGATCTTCTTCACCAACCATCTCTTTTAATATTCTCCTAATATGAGACTTGCATACGGGTAATGCTTGTAGCAATGCAAAACCTACGCCAGGTATCTTAAAGAAGCATAACGCTAAACAAGTAAAGTTCAAATAAATAAATGTTTGCGTCTTTGAATGATAGAAAGCTGCTATATACTATTAGTACCTAAGACCCGTGCGCAGAATGAGATCACATTAGAATATACGCCCTTTTGATTTAATCTATCAATTGCATAATGCAGAGTTGTCATCAAGGCAGAACGGTATGACATTATAGTTTCTATTGAGACGCCCATGTAAAAATCTATAGCGTCTGGAGGAATTGGTCCTATCTGATCTATTATTCAAATTTAATTAGTAGGCGCCGATTAAATATATTATTTGAAGACAATTTCAGATACTTTAATGAGTAGCGTCTAGAGAAAATAAAGCTCACCGAGATCCTCGAATTCATTCCTAAATATAAGCATAGCAATCATAATTAATTTAGAACCAAAAAACTTTATAGATTAATAAATTATATTTTTTTATGCTACCTTGTCATTAAGGCCAGTATACATTCGAAATAAAGGCTACGATCTGTATACACTGCGTTTGGTAAATTTAAGATCAAAACATTCCACCTAAAAGATTTTTTTTTTTTCTTTATTAATAAACGTTTTTAATCAACATGTCATATAAGGTTTACCGACCTATTTAGTAAAAGCGATCAATTTTCGTATCACATAGTAATCATAATCATTATAACAGTATAATGACGTATAAAATTGGTCGGCATAACCTACAATAAAACGCGTAAATACAAACCATTTAAGCAAAATCAAACGCCCTTGCTGTAGACTTTTATCTGTCATATTTACTAGATCAATTTAGAAAAAAAGTGAGGATACAAATTTAAGTATTAAAGAATTATCTCATCACAACACTGTTAACGGATTTATCTTGTAAATGGTATATCTTTACCTAGGCCGTTTTTTTTGAGCCAGGGATTTACTATTGTCTTGAGAACATCAATTTTACTCCGATCTTTCGATTGGAATCTATAGATTCAATTTAATAAAAATTTAATAAAAAGATGTTTAGCAACAAAAAGTAATGCCATCAAAAGATCTTAAAAAACAACTCACTTCACAAGAGCTTTTTCTATTGTTTTATATTCTGAGTCCTGGGAATTTCCCCAAGCCTTAAATAATTTATATTTTGGTCCTGAGTCCATTATTCCTGTATTTTTTTTCTTCGCCATCTCCGTACTGGAAGATATCGAATGCGAGGTATCGTCGTTGGCTAATAGAGAAGATAGAAAACCGTGTTTTTTAACTTTTTTATCAGATTGTCTAGTGGTAGTTGAAGTAGAGGTAGCGACTGTCATCGCAGTTGTTTTAGAAATTACAGAGGTTGGTTGGAACGAAGCAGTTACTGCTGTTTCCAAATCCGCACTATTCGAAGTTGCGTTTGTGTTCAAAGTAGTGTCTGGATACACAGAAATCGGAGAATCTATAGTATCTATTAATGTTGTTGGTAATATTTTACTTGAGTTATTTGTATAAGACGCTCGGTCTGTTGTAGGGGATGATCTATTAGGAATGCTTCGGGTTACTCGCATTGCTAAACGCAAAAGAAAACCAGCGCTAATAAAATAATAAATCGAATTACAAATATCACCAGATAGTGCTACAATTCTGTATTTAATACTGTAATATAGTTGATTATCTTTGTTTCAAATAAATAAATTATCTTCACACGTTCTAACTTCGTAATAGTCACATTTCGTATAGTTGCAATCACACTTGAATTTATGTGGCCTAGAGTGCGTGACCACAAGGACTGCATGTGCTTTATTATTACAGCATATTTAATATTGTTGCTAATTAAAGTTTAAAATGATTGCATATTACTTTAAAAGCTTAAATAAGCTAGCTAAATATGTAAAGCTCATAAAACATAAATGCACTTAGAGAGTGCATTTGTAGTATCGAAGCCTAAGTCTTTCTAAATATTTTAAAGTATTACAACTAGTGTTGGTATTTTGGTGCTTCATTAGAAAATGTCACCTGTTCCAGTCTATTACTCTAAGTATTGTTTTATTGGGAATTTTTAATCCTGCATTAAATTCTTGCTAATCTTTTAAACTTATTTTGGTTCACTCCTTAAATCGTAAATTTTAGCATAAAAATCCGTATTTTGAGAAATTTTGTTTGATCTATTTTTGTCAAAGACTTTACTAAAACGCACCTATGATATTTTACATCTATAAACAAATTATTATATAAAGTAAATTAGTAAGTGCAGGGTGTTTTAAATAATATTTTACGTCCTCCAAAAATCTTAATTCTAACTCCAAATACTAACTCTAAATACTAACCCTAATATAAAAAAGGTTGTTACTGTATATACAAAAAAAATAATAAAAACGTATACAAGTGACTCTTGATATAAGAAAGTTGCTGGGTTCGGCCAAAATCTTTCTTATATCGAGATTTTCTTACATCGAAGGCTTTTTATTATAAAATTTTCATTTGGGATTTAAAAAATCTTTCTTATATCGAAGGTTTCGATCTAATTTATCCGCGTTTACTATTGACGTCCGAATAATTTTCCGAATATTTGTCGGGTTATCCGGTTATCCGGATATTTGATCTGTTTATCTGGATTATTTGAATAATTCAGATACGATAAATGGATGACGGATTTATCCGGAAACTCTGAGTCACTTGTTGTAATATATAATAGAAATTAAGTTACATTACTAAAAATAGCGGACGTCTAAAGCGGAGATAAATTATATAATTTAGTATATATTTATTGAATAAACTTTAGGGTTAGGGTCATCTTAAGTTAGGGGTTAGGTTAGGTTTTAGATAGTTATATATATGGGGTTGAGTCAATAGAAATCAAGCAAATTTTTTCTAAGTAAATTTTTTTAAAACTTTAAACAATAATAA